TCTCCCGAGGGGTCCCAGACTGCGAGAGGGCACAGGCCGGGCTGAGGGATTCCCTCTCCCCCCTGAGTGCACAAATTTTTGTGCACCGGTCCTCTAGTCCTATATAATAAAAGCCTAATATACTAAGTGTCCGGTCAACCAGTCGGCCATTCAACCAATCAAAGGGTAATATGCTAATGAGATGCTAAGGCTGTTCAACCACTCACTGTGACGTGCAATGACCACCAGGGGGCACACAGTCAACCGTTCGACCAGTCACTATCATGTGCACTGACCACCAGGGGGTAGATGCTCTGACCGGTAAGTTAGCTTGCTGCCGAGGTCTGCCATATCGGGACTTAGCAAGACAGGCCTGACACACCTTAGGGCCCTCCCACAGTCCCTCCCCAGCAGGTAAACCTCCCACATCCCTCCCTGGCCCCAATAGTGCACTGGTGGGGTTCCGGGCCTGGCCTGCACCCTTTCACAATCCGGGACCCTCAAGGGATGCTAGAGAGCTGCTTTTGGCAGGATCCCATAGGCCACGCGGAGAGACCCCACTGGTGCACGAATTCGTGCACTGGGCTTCCAGTACAAAATAATATTGAATGTAAACTGTAACTTAACACATTGTTTGCGGGTAGTTTTTATCACGCGCTAACAGGTGGCGTGGGCCATTTTTCCTAACTTTTTGCTCAAATGGCAACGTTCAGTAAAATTACGATAACTTTAGTTTACGTATTTATACGTTACCTGCATTCTACCGCTAGTCTATAAAAAACGTATTAATACGTGTCCCGTGCTCTACTACCAGTCAACGTAAAATGTATAAATACATTTCCCGCATACAATGTGTTAAACATAAAAAAAGAAAACCACCCCCTGCTGCCAATTGTTTTTATATAATCCTGGAGAGTTTCAAGTTTCTTTTCAGTTAAGAAACTTCAGCTACATAGTACATCTAGGACAAACTATAATTATAAATTTTAATAAACTATATAATTTTTAAATGGTTCAAGATGTAAAATAATTAAAACAAAAGATATGGTTCAAGTTTCTATGTGAGAGAGAGAAGGGTGTTTTTTGGGTTTTTTTGCAGGGAGGAGCAGGTAGGAGGAAAAACCTGAAGTTTTCTTTATTATTTGATGTAAGCTTCAAAGATGTAAAAACTAATAAAACAGCACAGATTATTACATTAAAATCATCCAAATTAAAATCTATTTCAATAGAATAGTTATTAACTAAATGGTATCTACGAATACATATTTAGGCCTCTCCTGAAAAGACAATACAGTAATGATACTTTATATTTAAAGATGAAAAACAATTTTCAACATGCAATATTATACTTTTCATTTTAGAAGAGGTAATTTATCAGAATAAAGTGTTGGAAGATTAAACTCTATGTTATCCACTAATAAGAAGTATCATTTTTTTTTTCAGTTTTAAACAGGTTATGAAAATTCTATTTTGTTACATATTTACAAATAAGATAAATTATCAAATTATTAAGAATGGAGAGATTACCTTAACTCTTCAGGTTAGTTATGGGATTAAACTACTATAACAAATGAAGCTAGTATTGAATATTGCACATAATACAGGGTGGGGCAAAAGGAGGTTCCAACTGCAAACCTCCTTTTGTCCTACTCTGTATCTCGTACAATAAGACTTCACTATAGAAAACAAGCAGTATTCATTCATGTTTTTAAATGTCCAATTACAGCATTTTGTCTCACATTTCTGTTTGTTATACATAAACACATCTAAGTTACCATTCCAGTGAAATAGAGATATATATTCACTGGGAAAGGAAAAAACAAAAACACAATGTGCAACTCAATCTACTTTTTATCTCTAATGTACACCTGTGAAAAAAGACTTAGTAAATGAGAACTGAAGAGCTTGGAGGAATGGCTTGATCCCTACTCAATTCAAATAAACAGCTTTTCTTCAAAGGTTCTTAGCAATGGCCAGTCTGCCATGCAGTATTTTGTTTATGGCCAGTCACATTAAGTTTGGAAATTTTCATTAGTCATTATCAACACAACAATTTAGCCAAATTCAACCTGTGACCACTTCCACTAGCTAAGACTATTTTTGTCATGCTTAAACAATAGTGTTTTTAAGGAGAAGGGTGGTCCACAAACCTAAAGTATTATATTAATAAAAGAAAGGAAAAGAAGAGAGGGGTATGAGATGGGTCTAGGGCTCAAGGCCCAAGAAAACCCTTTCTTAAAGTTATTTTTCAATTATGCTGTCTAGATACACCAAGCTTCATCAACTATTTTGGAAAAAAAAAAAGCAGGACAAATATTTGTATTTGTTGGAAAGGTTGCAGCAAGGCTACCCTGTATTGGATAGTATACACAAATACTATGAGTTGAGTATACAAACAAATAACTCTATAAGGGGATTCTTTAAATTCCACCTTAATTCCAAAACACAACAATATGGTATTATGAAATAAACAGTATTTTTCTTCTTTCATTAACTCATTTGTAACTGCACTGAATTGAATAGCATTCCTTTGCTATTGTAAGCCCGAAAAGCATGTTCTGGCTATAGTGTTATGTTGGTATAAAGCGCAACGCCAGACTGATGTGCTGAACAAAAGTGATCAAAGTTAGAGTAATGTTAGCCATTGCACAAGTATTTGGCTTCATTGTTCTCTCCAGAATGACATTTGTTAAGCAACTTGTCATAGAATAAACTGGCTAATGCAGACAGAACTTGGCTGAGAGGGTACAAAGTAAAGCATATTAGGCTAATGTCTGTCCCAATGGAAGAGATAAATTCACGGAGATTCTGAGGTTATGCCAAAAGAATTTTGTGTTAAACAACAATCACTAAATAACAACTTAAATACAAATTAGTCTTTCAAAAATAATTCCATGTTTATCAATGCTGTAACCATAGGCAGATTTTAACATTATACTGAAGAAATACATGTGATAAGGTAACAAAAGTACAAAGTGGGCAAAGGTTTTATTAATAAAGATATAATCTTTATTGATGGTTTTCTGTAATTAAAATTTTAACTCACAATTCTGCAGGGAAGGAAAAAATCCAAAAAGTATACAAAAGTAAAAATGATGCTTTTTAAAAATATTCGTATCCTAGAAAACCTGAGAGACAAATTACAGCTATATATAAAAATTATGCAAAGTAATTTAACGTTGTCATGAATCAAGTGAAGGACAGAATTCTCTCACAGAGGGAAAGAAGAATAAAGGACTGGAGAGGGAGAGAGAGAAGGAGGGGGAAGGGAAGAGAGAGATCGAGAGATCACTGGCTGATTTGAGAGATTTGAGAGCACTTGAGAGAGGCAGAAAACACATAGACTGGGTGTTGTAGCTGGCATGCCCAGCTGCCATTATTGTTCTACTTCTGATGGAATTTCATCTTTAGAGATTTGTGTTAAATTCCAGTTAAGTACAAGGGGCACTTCACAGGGTAACATTTCCTAAGGGCCT